ATTTATCAATGGTTTCATGTAAATGGTAAATGATAGATAGGATGCATGCATGCACCTAATAATTAACACACACCTATACCCCAAGCGCCCAACTCTACTTTAGACTCTGCATCGTCTCTTTCAACAATATGCTCGATCTCCGGGCCGGGCTCTTTGGTCGTGATATATATGAACCTCTCGCACGCACGGGGCGTGTTGCCCTCGATGTGATACGGGCTCGAGATATATATGCTGCAGTTGCTGCTCTGGACGTGATATATATATATATATATATATATATATATATATATATATATATATATATATATATATATATATATATATATATATGCACAATATAATCCATTGGACCATTTTCAGGAATTCCACGGTTTCAGGAACTAGCTAGAGAAATCGTTAAATTACACTTTTAAATTAAATTCTCAAACACGTTACATTTAAATTCAAATACGAGCGAAGCTGTCGTATTATAATATAATTATTATTCCTGGGCTTACAACTACAAGTTTGAGCTTTAGGCCGAATCGGTTCCTTAACATGATATTGAATTGGAAGCTTTGATGATCAAAAGGTCACAAATTCAAACATCACCGTCATCCAATTTTTAAAAAGTTGATTTTAACATGACACGTGAGAGAGTGTATTATAATATGAATACTCCCTCCGTCCACAAATAATTTAAAATTCCGTTGCGTGTTATGATGTTTGACTGAAGTTATTATTTTCAAATCATTTTATATGAAAAATGGTGTAAAATTTAAAAATAAAAACTATATATTAAAAAACTATATCAAAAGATCTACAATAAAACTAGATGTAACATGACTATATTATTTTATCAAATGAGTGACGAAAATATGCCGACAAAGTGAATAAAGTTTGGCTCGATGAATAGTGAACAAGAAATATATTTGTGAACAGAAGGTATGATTTCTCGACTTAATTAGTGTCACAACTTTTAAGTAAATTGGTTGTTCGTTGACACCTCACACGGGCATGTTGTTTCTCATATTCTCACCCCATGAGCAGTCGGACACACAAATGTGAGGAAACAAAAAAATGTCGTCTCTCACTCATGCATCTGGAACACTTTCATTTCATACTCTCTCTTGTTGACTTTTTAAAAAAAATTTAGCAACTTTTTTAGTTAAATTTGTTAAACTTTGATCAATACTTATAGTTGTTAGATAGTACTTTTTTTTGTCCCAAAATGATTTATACTTTTACTATTTGAGTCTTTTGGTAATTAACTGTTAGAGTGTCATTCCACATCGGAAGTTCACGGGCAAAATAATCGGTATATAAGCTCTTGAGTTGAACTAACTAATCGATTGGATTCAATCTTTTAATGTGGTTCAACCCAAATGTCTTATTGCCCAATCCAGTTATCCATACCCATTCTAAATTTTATTATGGTATGGGAGCAGGTTTTGGCCCACCTCATTTGTCAAGGTGTCCGTCTAGACGTTCATTCGTTCCTAGCGGCCCGTTAGTCTTTAGCCCAGTTGTTCGTATGGAGTATGTACCCAACGGCTTGTGGCCCGTTTAACACGATTGCTCGTTTGGAAGTCCATACCCAGCGACTCGTGGTCCTTTAGGTACTGACGCTCAAATAAAAAATCAAGAGAATGAAAGTTTATTTGCAAGTGGTCAACCACTTACATTCAAAATGACCCGGTTGTCCACTTGAGGGAGAGTGTTAGAGTGTCATCCCACATCGGAAGTTCAAAAGCAAAATAATCGGTATATAAGCTCTTGAGTTGAACTAACTAATCGATTGGATTTAATCTTTTAATGCAGTTCAACCAAAATGTCTTATTGCCCAATCCAGTTATCCCTACCCAATTTTTAATTTTATCAGTAACTTTAATTTGTTTATTGGTCATTTCAGTTTTGACCAGTGGCGGATTCAGGAATCACAAGGACAGAGGGCGAGAGCAGTATATGGGGGGGTCAGGGGTAGCGCCCCCATTTTTTTACAAAATAGCAATGCGAAATGACAAGAAATTTAATTTCAACTCAATGAACCATTCAAATTAAATAATTAATAAAAAATATCGAAAATATTTTCTATGATTTCACATTCTCTAAATAATATAAATAAAATATTCATGAGTTTGTATGTGTTTTTTAAATATATCATTTGTATTTCTTTAAATTTCAATAGCAATGAATGAATATAATCTTTTTTAAAAATGGAATTTTGCATGTAACAAAAAAATATTGGAGGTCAAAATTTAACATATATGTTTAGTTGAAAAAGTGGAACATGAAATAAATCAACCGGATGGAAGGATTAATAATGTACTCCGTTTGGTAGCACAGAAATAGGTTTGAAAGAAATAATGGGATTTTGTGTTGTTTGGGATAGAGAAGAACTAAGTAGGGAACAAAAAAAGGACAGGACCACCCACAATTTCTTTCTCTCTTTGGATGAGTATTAAACATGTTGAGTGACCAATGCAAGTTGGTCCACTTCTCGTTTTTCGTCTACAAATTTATGAACTTCTTCCTAGCTTATATCAATTTATGTAAAATAATACTCCCTCCGTCCCCCATAGATCTTCCCAATAGCCCTTTTTCTTTGTCCACAATAGATCTTCTCATTTCACTTTTTAACAATTAAAATACCACAACTACCCCCACTTACTTTATTTATTACACCTCACCCACCTCATTTAATACACTCCACCCATTTTCATTAAGGGTATTATGGTAAACTTTCACCTTTTTTCAACTTCCTTAAAAATCACCAAAAGTCAAAATAAGAACATCTTAGGGGGACGGAGGGAGTAAAAGTTTATAATTTTTTTATTTATTGATTTTTATTAATTTGTTAATGCATGTGATGAGAAGACTCATGCATCGAGTAAATAATAAATATGTGATACAGAATCAAGCTAGGTCCATTTATGGTAGATTTTATACATTCTTTACGTTCGAGTCGCGTAAGCCAATCGTGAAGATAAAGATAAAAGACTTTCTAATTGATGAACATATAGTGATACATGGTAACTAGTTCTATTATGACACCAAGTTTGACACCACATTCTCTCAGAAATGCACACAGACGATCATCATTATGAACGCATGCTTTGTGAGAAATTAATGGTATTAAACTCGATCAATTGATCGCAATTAAGATTCACATACGATGTTAGTCAGTGTAGCGGGACTGTTCGCATATTATAATTACTATCAAAGTGTAGAGAAACATAATGCATACAAATTTTTTTTTAAAAATTAAAATAAAAAAAACCATGCAAGTGGGAGTTTGGCATTCAACGGGGACTCAATGGCAGTGAGTGTAATGGATGGCTTGGTCCAAAGTGTAGGTCTTTTTCAAGAACCAAATGAGTACTGAACCGCACTTGTATACTGTTATTGTGGGATATATATAATGGGTACTAAAAAGGGGACGAATAATAATGCATACGGACATCATTACATGCAACTCTTTTTCACCCAAATTGTTCACTCCATATATTTCTCCCAAACTAATATCTTTATTTAATTTCAAAATTAAAAATAATATATAAAATAAATAAATAGTAAGTGATCGGAATTTACTTTAAATAAATTAAAGATGGTTCACTACATTCCCTTTTAATTCATGAGAAATTTACCTAAATAGAAATAAAACATAATTATTTTTCCCAAATAGAACCATATGTTTTTATTTCTTAATGTAGGACCTTTGGTCATTATCAAGTAGTCATTATTCAACTAAATGTCCATCATTGCTGGACATTATTCCTTCCACCAAGTCATTATTAAGTCCTATTTAGGGAATAAAAAAGTTTAAGTCCTACATTGGAAAAGTCATTATGTTTTAGTTCTATTTAATGCAAATTTCACTTAATTCATTTTATTAAGTACATAAAGAAGTGATATACTTATTATAAGATAGTATAGATTAGTACGATGTTGGGTTGGTTCCTAATCGTCAACGAAGATCAAATTCTGTGGTTCTTTTAAAGTATAAAGTTGGGTGCATGAATAATGAGTACTGTTGGGCGGTGGGCGTTGACAATGACTTCTCCTCATGTACCACTTCCTTTGTTTGGTCACTACAAGGCGACAAGAGACATCATAAGACCTAATTTACATGACGGTCAAAATTTTGAATTCATATACTTCCTCCGTCCCCAATTTGATTACAAGTTGCGGGTTACGGAGTAAAATTTTTATTTTTTGAAATCATTTTATTTACAAATTGGTACATCAATAAGCTATAAAAATTACATATCAAAAAACCACGTCAAAAGTTCTACAAAACAAGAAGTGGCAAGAATATTTTATTTTATCAAATACTTGATGAAATCGCGTAAACAAACAAAAGTTATCGAGAGAAGAGAGAAAAAAAAGATTGTAATCTATTTAGGGACGGAGGGAGTATGATTCCCTTCCATTTCAATAAAAAAATAGTAGTGTCAGAAGAATACATGAGAGATATATTTTAAGGATAAAGCGTATCCCAAATTGTTTGTACCTCATTTGTACACCGCAGTGTGTATTAATATTTTATGTTCGTGTAATGCTAATTTTTGTTAACGCACCAACACTTTATGTCAGTGAAATTTTTTGTTAATGCATCAACGTAACACTTTGTGTCAGTGGTAAGTTCGAGTCTATAAATTAAATGAAAAATTACAAGAAGAAAAAAGGTACGGGTTGTCGGAGTATTGAACAATTGAAGACGACGGCTTACCAAAGGGCTACCCTTATTTTTTTCACAATTATTTATTCTTATTGGAATCATATCAGATGAGACCAGATCAGATTAGAAATAACTTTAAATATAATTATTTTTAGATCATATTAGAAGTTTTTCCAATCAGATGAGAACCATTCAGATCAAGTGAATAAATATTTTCTTATGTTAACTCGCACGCTTATTTTGATGTGTAAAAAATTTATCAACTTCCCAAGTATGTCCCTGCCTCTACCTTCAGTGATATGTGGTAAAGGCCCTACCAACAGGATGTAGTTTACAGGCCAGCCCACAACTCAACCCTGTGTTGTTTTCTTGAAGTCCATATTATTTTTACAGTCCAGCCCAACCCAACCCAAATGGACACAGCCCCAAGGGTGTAGCTTCGTTTCAGCCAAAGTGCAAAATATCCCAGAAGACTAAAAACCAGAAAACTTCGATAACCTGAAATGGCGGTTGCAGGGGCCTCTCCGTCGTTGGAGATTCTGATCAGAGGACCAGAAGGCTATGCTATTTGGGACGGGCCACCTTTCCCGGATGGTCAACCCGGTATCAAGCTTGCTACAGTCCCCTGTACAAGTGCAAAGTTTAGCGAAGATGGTTCGAAACTCATGGTTGTGAAATCGGGGTCGCTAATTAGCGTACATGATAATAGAACCTTGAAGGAGATTAGGGTTTTTGAAATCCCCAATTTGCTTGCTGGAGAAATTTCCCCCTGTGGAACTTACCTCCAGACATTCCAGAAATGCATGTCCCCGCAGGACAAAAACGTGGTCTTATGGAGGGTGGAGAGTGGCGAATCTGTTTACAAGTCGTTTCAGAAGAACGTAACAAAAGCTACATGGTTTGTCATTGTCCTTCTAATTAGGATTTTGCTGATTTTGATATCTGTGATCTAAGTATTGCGGAATATTTTCTTGGGATGTGTTACCTTAGGCCGTGTGTGAGATTTAGCTCTGATGAAATGGTTGCTTGCCGATTGGCAACCAATGAGATGCAACTTTTTGATGGCGGAGACTTCTCAAAAGGAATAGTGCACCGGATTCGAGTTCCTGGCATAGCTGCACTAGAGCTTTCTAAGAGTCCCGGATCTTTTGTGGCTGCATTTGTTCCTGAATCTAAGGTTTTTAGTTTTTCAAAAGTGCTTATAATAGTGGGCTTTTATTTGTGAAACTTATAGCTGCATTTTGGTTTTGTGTATAAAAATTAACTTGATTTAAATACATATCTTGAATCTTTGATTATTTCTGTTTATATGGTTGAAAATACATAAGCAAACATATTTTGTGGTTTTTAGTACCCAATCACAAATAATGTAGTCTTAGAGTCTCCTTACAATGTGTTAACTTTGAAATAATTTCACTTAAATTAATAAGATGCATGGATTGTGCATCATCCGTTAAATGAATAAAACTAAAAAAAAATATTTATATATAATGGCAGGTGTGAGTAATTTAGAAGTGGATGGCGATTAACCAGTCCTTATATAGATGACATCTTATTTGTTTTAATGGTAATAAGTTAACTTATTAGTAAGACCCCTGTTCTATCTTTTACTACGTATTACTGTAAGAAATTTATTTTTTTTGAATGCCTTTTCATATACCGTATAGGGAATGCCAGCCAGCGTTCAAATATATACCTCTGGAAAGGACTCGCAATCCCCTGTTGCTCGGCGTAGTTTTTTCCGGTGCTCCACTGTGCAGATGAGATGGAACAGTGGGTCAACTGGACTCCTAGTGTTGGTGCAATCAGATGTTGATAAAACTAATCAGAGTTACTATGGCGAGACAAAGTTAAACTACTTGACTTCTGATGGGGCCCATGAAGGACTTGTTCCTCTTCGTAAGTTTTGTCATCTTCTCATTCTCTTCAGCAACTCTTTCTACAATAAGCTAACAGACTTTCTGTTCCTCTTCAATAAACATATACTCATATCTATCAAGTGAGATAGTCATGACTGAGGTGGAAATGTTGCAGGTAAAGAAGGGCCTGTTCATGACGTTCAGTGGTCATACAGTGGCAAAGAATTTGCAGTTGTTTATGGATGTATCCTTGCAGACCTTGCGACCCTACTAATGTCTATGCCGAGTCTATCAGCACTTGTTTAAAAGGAAAAAAATGAAATTTTGATGTACAGCTGATTATCGGACTCTATCCTAAAATGAGGATATTTCCATTGCATATTTACATTTTAAGGATAATATCTCTGGTCGCTACCATATGTTTTGTTTAAGGCGCATCCAGAAGCTGAATATTGGTGTTTTTATTTGTCTCTGTTTGAAAGACTTGACAAAGATAATTATACTGAAAATCACCCTCTGTTTTCACATTGTCTTGAAAATTCTACTCCTTGACATATTTAGTTATGCCTGCCATGGCAACAATATTTGACAGGAAATGCAATCCCCTTCTTGAGCTTGGGACAGGCCCATACAACACAATTAGATGGAACCCAAAAGGAAAGTGTATCCTTCTGTGATAAGGGGCTTTTTTACCCTTCATCTCTCTTGTGTTCTTTACTTGGTAGAAACTCTTGCTGTGCTTCCTTAATCTTTTTTCATATAGTTATATGCTTGGCCGGATTTGGGAACTTGCCCGGTGATATGGTATTTTATCTAAAACATTTCTTGCCCTTTTGTTTTACACTAGTGTTTCTGCTGGTTCCCCAGGTCCATGTCACATACAATTCACTTGCACACACATTTTCCTCAATTTAGATTGTAAGCTTTTTGTTCAAGTGTAAAAGTTTTCTCTGAATATTTCTAAAAACAAAATGTTGTAGTATAAGGTTTTAAATATGTCCATGATCCTCATAGACTCATAGTGATAGTTCATGAGAATGTAATGTGTTTGGATCTGAGGGTTATCAGGATCACTGGCTATATGTAGTTGTTGATGTTGCATATTAAAAAATTAGCAAGTGAATACGGAGTAGTTTTAACTTGAAAAAATTAATGAGAAAAATATTCTCCCTCCATCCCAGAATAATTTACCCATTTTGGTTTCACGAAGTTAAAGTGAAGTGTTAATAATGTTGAAAAGTGAAAAAAAAGGAGCAGTTAGAGTTTGTTTAGAAGAAAGTAGTTTGGACCATATATTCTTTTTTCAAAGAGGGAAAGAGAAAGTGGGTAAATTATTTTGGGACGGATGAAAAAAGAAAGTATATTTCTGGCATAAACTTTTTGCTTGTAAATGATATGTGTTTTTATCATGTAAAATGGCTCAATTTCTCTAAATATAGTGCTTCTTGCAAATCCTGGAAACACCTGATTTAGATCAATTTTGCCTTTTGTGCAGGCATTCTGGGATTATGTTGAAAAGAAGAAAGTCGGGGTTACCAAGGCTGAATTATCAGTGTCAAGTGAATGGTCTCCTGATGGGCGTTACTTCATGACTGCCACAACAGCTCCTAGACTCCAAGTTGACAATGGGTATGTATACTCTATGATGTATTGCTTGCCAATACTAAGGCTATGAGATTAAGATGAATTTAGACAATGCTAACTGTGTCATTCTTGCTCTGGCGTCAAGCTTGTTCCTGACTTGGTCATGAATTGGCATGCATATTGCAAAATACAAGCACACATTCGCGCTAATACTTGTTTCATAATATTGTTAAAAGGATTAAAGTATTTCACCACAATGGAGCACTGTACTTCAAGAAGATGTTTGAAAAATTGTACCAGGTGAAAATCTTGAGAGTTTTCCATTATCTGGTTATGATGGCTAAAATTCATGACATCTGTGCTGTTTCTCTTACAGGCTGACTGGAAACCCGAGTCACCAGATAAGTTTGGTGAACTTTCACAACTCGTGGAGGCTGTCGACTCTCTGAAAATTGGCGAGACTAAAACTCAAGGCAACAATCTGTTAAATCTTGAAACGAATTGGATTTGGTACAGATTTGGCTTGTTAGAATCAAAATAAACCTTGTTTATTGCAGGACAAGGAGCAAAAACATCCAAAACCATACCTGCCAACCCTCCTACACAAAAGCCCGCTGCTTATCGTCCCCCGCAAGTTAAGGAAGCAGCAGCTATCAAAGCACAGGTATCCAAGAAATCTTTTATCCTATGTTTGGTTCAAGGAATTTGGAAGGAAAAGAAAAGAAAATGATTTTCTCTCATTTTCCTCACCAAAATGGAAAGAATTTGGTTTTCTCTCCTCTTAATACATTTTGCCTTCTCATTTTTTTTCCTTCCACTTTTCCTTTCTTTTCCTCTCTAACCAACCAAGAAAAACTGTTTTCCACTTCATTTTCTTTTCTCGTCCCTTTCAAATCCCTTGAACCAAATAGTGTTAGTTTTTCTTTGTTGATGGATGTACTAAAATTTCATCCTCTCCCGCTTACATATGGCATTTTCTCTAATGCAATTTATCTAATACGAGTGGTTTTCCATTTTACAGTTACTTGGTGAAAGTCCTTCAGGGTAAGCATCCTCTTACAATGCTCTTCTTTTTCTTTTTTCGCTGAAGAATTATTCATTTTTTTCAAAAATAGATATAAGCATTTTTTTGTGAATGCAGAGAGATGAGTAAGAATGCTCTGAGAAACAAGAAAAAGAGGGAAAAGCAAAGGGAGAAAAAGGCAGCCGAAGCTGCTTCTTCTGCCCGTGAATGAAAGATTCATAGCCAAAAGAAGCCGTTGTCAAGTTCCCACCCGTTTTTGCACCGTGTTTGGGCCGAGCTGAGGCCAATTGGTTTTGGAGCCTTGAAGCTGAGCCAATTCAGTTGAGTTGCTTCTGTCTTATCCCCTCCCACAAATGTATTGTGTTATGTGTTATTCAGCATTTGTTCTGTGCTGCACTTCTTTGGCGATTGTTTCATTTAATGTTGTGTTAGGATATATTTCTAATTTTTTTTTAATTTTAAGATATATGTTGTTTGCTGAAATATTATACGGCTTTATATCATAGTTTTCATAGCCAAACTGGCAGCCAAACCGGTTTTGTCATTTATTTACAGGGGCAGATCCAGTTATTTATGGTGTGTTGTTTGTGTGCGCGCGTGTGTGTGTAATTACACAAATTTTAATGAAACATTAATGAAATTTTTCAAGGCACCAATATTAAATATTGGTAAAAATAATAATTTTATTAAATTTATCTGGTAAAATGTTCCATCTTTTCTAAAAATTGTACTCTGTCTGTCTTAAAACTTTCTTACCACTTCCCTTTTTCTTCCGTCCTAAAATTATCTTTGTATTAGAAAAAAAGATGACAAATGACATTAATACCCTCATGTATTTACACTAATTATCTTCTAACTCTATATTTTGAATGATTGTAAAAAAAATTTCAAAAAATCTTTTTTAAGGAGGATAAAATTTGAAGTAAGCCAAAAATTAAAAATGAGGAAAAGTCAAACTGGAAAGAAAGAATTAGGACGGAAGGAGTACTAAGTAGATAAAAATTGCACGAAGTAGATAAATTACAAACATAACAAACACATTAGGATAGAAAAATTATTAAGCCAAATAGCAACATCCCTTTGCGGGTGCGTTTCTCTTCTTATAAGCTACTTAAGGGCATATAAATTGTTTTTAACTAATACTAGGCAAAACAGTTGCTGACATGTTAATCTATATATACTTATAAACTGCTTATAAATTAAAATAATAAGATATTACTTATTTTTTAAAACTAATTTTCATTTTTCGATTTTGACCAAATCATTTACTCCATTCATCTCAATTTAAATTGTTTGTTTATTATTCACAAAGTTAAATTTTAATCAATTTTTTTTTGCCTATTTTCACAACTCATTTGATAAAATAATATACTGTATAATTTTTTACCTTTTGTTTTGTAGATTTTTTAATGTAGTTTATATATATATTAGACAGAGAGAGTACAAACACAATCCTCCCCTTTTATAAATATATCCCCAAATAACTACTCCATCCGTCCCAATTTAAATCGCATGTTTTTACTTTTAGGCATATTTAAGGAAAACAAAAAATAGAGTTGATTTTTTCGAAATTGACATTACTTTTTAGGAGGGGTGATGATGAATGAAAAGATAATGTGAAAAACTGTGACTTATTTTAAGAGTAGTTTAAATATTTTATTTTTAAAAGTTTACAAAAATAACTAACAGGCAACTTATTTTGGAACAGAGAAAAAAGGCAAACAGGCAATTTAAAATGGAACGGAAGGAGTAATATATTTCATTTAAGTCGCTTTACAAAATATACTTCAATAAGCAACTTGTAAATAATAAATACTTCAATAAGCAACTTATAAATAAAAAAACTACTTATCAGCCACAAATTACTCCGTAATCATCACTTAGACACATAAACACACCCCCTTTATCTTCATTGTGAAATTGAAAAAACATTGAATGACCCCATAAATAGCCTGTTTTGACCACTCTTTAACAAAGCAAAATACCCCGGAGTATGATTGAAACACTTGGAAGAGTGAAATGCTTTCAGCTAGAAATCCTTATCTTGAAAAAGAAAATGAAACAAAATTTATGAACAATCTAAATAAAAATCAATTCTTGAATCTGATGCTACGGCTGCGAGCAGGATTAATGCCAGTGGCTTCTCCTCCGTAAGGACCAGACGGCTTCCTGATATCCAGCACCTGTCCTTTCCTACGCTTGACAGCGCCCTCATGTCTTGTCTGCAAGAGGACGCCGAGAAAACAATAGTAATGATTTCACATTCATATACATGAAAAGAAAAATAAAAGTTTTTTTTTCTTTATTTCTTTTGGTGTGGGCATACATACCCTGTACTTCTTCCTTGGGTTTTTGTCTCGCTTGTTGCGATGCCGAGTTAAGCCCCTGTTCTTCTCAATCTAACACATAAAATAGGGCACAAGAAATCACACATTTTAAAGGGTTAGGGACATGATGATAGTGCAAACTGGCAATATTGCAAGATTGGTGATGAAGGAATGATGCCCAACTTACCTGCTGCGAAATGTGGCGCTTCCCATCTTCTGCTATTGTTTCAGGGAGATATGGTTCTAACATGGGCCTGCATCCGTGGATTGTTTTTGTTATGAACATTATGAGCATGTGCTAAGAACTCCTTTTTGAGAACATTATTACTATAAAATATTGTACGAACAACTTAATGTGGAGAAAATGCAGACCTTGAATACTTGTTTTGTTTAGCAGCAACCTTCTCAGAATGTTTTCTCTCTACTTGTTTGTAAAACTCTAAGTCTGAGTCACCATCACTTGCATCAACCCCATGATCGTCACTTGTGTGTCCCGCAGGCTCTTCTTCTTTTTCACCATCCGTAGCAGATGGTTTGATGCCAGCTCCAGCAAGAACTCTAAGCTCGTGCTTCCTCCGCCTCTCCCCAACATCATCTCTCTTTGGCAAGTCATCATCCCCAGATATAGCCTATTCAGAGAGTGAAAATTTTACCCCAAAAAACATTAACTTAAGACTAGACATATGAGATGATGTAACTACTCTGGGAGATTGTGTTTCACTCCATGCTTTAATGTTATAAGTAGAACAAACAAAACGCTCACAATGTCAATTTACCCAAAGCTAAGATGAAGTATGATTTTTAAACTTGAAAGCTAAGATGAAGTATGATTCACTAGTGAGTATAAATGAGAGAATAAAACCACACCCTGGCTTTATTAACTTTGGTCATGAGCTGAGATAATTCCCTTGAATGTGTGAATCCTGCATTACCATTCACCATTCTATGAGAAGCCCCGAGGTCTATGGCATCATCATCAAAATCTCCAGAGGTTGCCAGTTGCCTGTTTGGTGTTCAATTCAAATATAAATATAAGTACAGCCAGCTAATAATACAAATATTACAATCGGGTTCACTTTGCACCAGAAAATAGTCAAAATACAGATTGAGCTTGCAATATCAAAATAGAAAGGAAATTATTACCCATTAATTGGTTGGAGACGCTTCCTTGAACTCTCTTTTTTAGATGCTAAAGAACTGAAGAGACCTTTCTGTTTGAGATTCTCCTCTAGAGCTGCTCTTATTTTCAACATTTCCATGCTTTCTGTACCTATTAGGTCATCCTGCAGAGCATAGTAAAGCTAATATCAGTATATACAGCAACAAATATGGTGAGAAGAGATCTATAAATGTATATGGTCACTAGAATTAGATAAATTAGTACTGGTGGTCCTACTACGGAGTAGTATTTATAATCCAAAAATGCTTTTCTATGTATGCATGACCCACCTGAAACTTCCGCTTTGAATGATTTTTCTTATCCTTTGGACTGTTGAACTCCATGAACTCGACAGCTCCATTGGGCTAAAAGTATTTGAAAGATATTGTTATACTCACACCAACATGATGATGAACAGATAACAGTGAAATTGAAGGATAAAAGAGGCAATGATGACACATGCATTAAAAAATGCACAAGTGTGTGTGTATACTATATAACAAAAGCAGAATAGAAAAATAAAAAAATGAATATAGACACCGTGTATACAGGTTGGAAATTACCGTGGTTCCTTTAGTGTTATCTAAAGCCAAAGAGGGATTACCATCTGGAGGACAATCGGATTTAACGAGGTCACCCTCTGTAACCAATTCCTCTTTGCCTTCAGTACCACAACACTTGCTCACAAGAGTTTCAAGGTCAGAAGGAAGATTTCCTTGAAGCGCTCCCATCTGCAATGAAGCACACATGAAGAGTTGATGACGCATAAAGTAGTCAAAACAGAAATGACTATCTAAAGACATCAATCATTTTTAGTACCCTCACCCCACCCACCAGCCCACAGAAAGTCAGCACTCAGCAATAACAACCTACAAAGTGAAATATGACAAGTGGGGTCTAGGGGACAGGGGTACGCACACAGCACACTATACTCCTGCATACAAAAAAACTAGGCTACTTCGCAAAGCTAACCCCCCCCCCCCAAATGCACCCGTCGTTTACCCTCTACAGGTAAAGGCTCATAGACGCTGGGGGTGTCACAGATCTGGAGTACTTTATGTTCAAAAAAACTGCAAANGATACATTTCCATATTATTTTATTTAGTACTCCCTCTGTCCCAAAATGAAGTCAACAGTTGGACTTCACAGAGTTCAGAAAAGTGTCGAAAGTAAAGTGTATGGTTGAAATTCGTATAGAGAAATTTTGTGACACAATTATTCATTTCCTAAAAGGGAAAGTGAGAAAATGTGACCAACATTTTGAGACGGGGGAAGTATTTATCAAGGTTGCGATGGTGATGAATGAGATAACGGTAGGCATTTTTAAAAAGTGATCATTTATGATAGATGCTAACCTTATCCAACAAAGACTTTATATCCACAAGGCGAGAAATAACAGGATGATCACAAACTGGTTTCCCTTCTGATTTAAGAAGCAGGTAGAAGGTTATAGCCTGGCAATATGAGAGTAGAAGCAGCTTTTTTACCTCCAGGTAATTCATCTCCCCTTTCTTTCCATTTTCAACATTAATCTTCAAAAAAGGAAAATAGGAAAAACAAGACAGCAATTAGCATGCCGATGGAACTATTATTGGCAAATATATTTACGGCACTCAGACAGAATGATACATATAACCTGAACAACCCATCCATTACATTAAATCATTGATTGAGAGAACTAGTAAATTGTCTATCTCTACCAAGGAACTTCCCAAGACAGCCTTCATAGTTTAATTGGCATTTATGTCTTATATTGCTTGATGATACATTGATACTAAAGGGTGAGCATATGGCACCTTGGTCAAGAGCAGAATTACTTTGTTATCAAGTTCCTCGAGTGCTTCATTAAGCTCAGACAATAAACCAACTAATTCTGGGGCAGAGCTGCATGAGAAAAGAGTGGATTTAACTGAGAAGCATATATGAGTAGCGAAAACAATCACATACAAGATGACAGTGCTACAAAGAGGACAAAATATTATCCCACTGACAGATCTGGAAAAAGTTGTTCACCTGTAGACAACATCCATCTGCTCTTCCTTTGTCAAAGCATTAAGATCTCTCTTTATTTTCTCATAGGCAATTC